TGCATCCAAGGCGGCCCAAAGGGCAATCTCGCCCCAAATTCGCCCCAAGACGGCCACGAATGCCCAAGACGGCCCCAAGGGCCCCAAGACGGCCAAGAGACCCCGAAGAGAAACCCAAGCCGGCCCCAGAGGCACCCATGACGGCCCAAGAGAGCCCTAAAATAAACCCTCCAAAGGACTACCGAATTGACATTTCGAGCCTTCCCCCAGGATGGGTCCAAGAGCTCCCCAGAGTCCTCTGTAGCCGCCCCCGCGAAGCCCCGAGAGCCCTCCAGGATGCCCACAAGAAGCACCGAAAGCCCCCCAGATGCCTCGACACACGCTCCAAGATGCTGCTGAGAAGCATTCTAAAGGACTCCCACATGCCTCCAACATGCGTCCCAAACGCTTCCCCAACAATGAAAACAAACATCCACGAAAGCCACTTCCCACAACCCAAAGTCCGTGACGGGGCTTACTCCAAACACCTGCTGCCTTGTCGCACGGTTGCCCCATTATGCTCGCAACTTGCCATTTCAAGCTCCGACCCGGCATCACGGCTCAAAACATGTTGCGCGCTAGGCCAGTACGGACAGTCGCGCCGAGTCGCCCCCCTCCTCGTACTCACTCTGCGCGTCGCCCTCCTCATCGGCGTGTCCTTTCCCCTTTGCATCCCCGATTCCTTCCCTCTCCGTCTCCTCTTTTCCAATTTCCTGAGCATGCGCCTCGTCTTCCTCGGGTCCTGCTTCGTCGCCTCATCCTCCTTCTATTCCTCCTCCTCCTCCTCCTCCTCCTTACCATCATCATCACCATCACCATCACCATCACCATCACCATCACCATCATCATCATCATCATCATCATCATCATCATCATCATCATCAACACCATCATCATCATCATCATCATCAACATCATCATCACCATCAGCATCACCATCACCATCATCATCATCATCAACATCATCATCATAACATCATCACCATCGTACTGTTTTGATTACACAGATAGGCGTTTTCCATACTCTTTGGCACTGTCAGGAAGGCCAACAAATCCTCGGCTTCAGCAGGCCCGCGAACGCACCCACAAGAAGCGTAGAAGCACGCTGACCCAATTTTTTTCCTACACGGAGCCTATACGCTGCCTCCGCTCCACGCCACCACCCTGCACCGCGTCCACCTCCATTTCACCGTGCGCAACATTTGGTGCGCTTCAGCGTTCCTTGCCGGGCGTTAAACGTAAATTATTGCCGCGGTCAGGAGAAGCGCTCCGGGGTAGCCGCTTGCCACGTGGGCCCGAGCATACAAACGCCTCCCAAAATCTCGCGGTGAATCATTTCTCTGCGCCTTCCTTCCACACCACCCTACTCCCCTACCCCAGGTGGTGCCTTCGGTGGTCCCCGGCGATGTGTTCCTGCCACGCCACAAGAAACGTCCAACAGGCCCGAAGAGGCTCCCCAGAGGCCCAGAAGAGGCCCCAGGACCGCCTCACCCATGGACTTCGTCCATCTTCTGGGGGTCGGCGGGATGGGGCAAGACTCTTGGACAAGAGGATCAGGCAGACGCCTGACCTCATGAATACACGTGGGTCGGAAGAAGTAGGTAGAAACATGAAGTAGGAAGGCGGATATAGTAGATTGGGTCCAGGTCCTCCCAGATAATATCAGAACACAGCAAAAGCATGTCGATTCTTGAAGTAGGAAGGCGCTTGAAATAGATCGGGATCTGGGAATCCAAAAATACCTACTTTCAACGACCGGCGTGTAAAGGCCCAGGCAAGCATGTAGGAAGGGAGGGCGTCGAAGGCCACGCCCAGCCGGCAGAAGGAGGGCCCAAGGGTGGATGCGAGCGCGGGGGGGAGGAGGGGGAGGGAGATCAGGGTGGGGGGTGGACAGGTGGGGGACGGGGGGAAGGAGCGTCCCAAACATCCGACGCCATGCTTCTCTTGACGCGTGGCTCCTCCGAGGTCTGGCCCCCCTCGCTGGGACTGGCCTGCCATCCAGGGTCGTTGATTGGCGGTCCTGGGACACGGTATGGGCTGCCAGAAGCCGAAACCTCCCGTCGTGATTGTTGTCGCGACTCGAAGATGCCAAGGAAAGGGGAGCATGCTTGAGGAATCACCCAGACGGTGCTTGCACGGAGGGCCTCTTACCTACTCCGTGGCGGCGATCTAGCCGCTGGGCCGCGGGGATCCTCCAGGCTGCGCAGCGGTGCGCGGACACTGCCCCCTCCGAAAACCCCCGGCAGGATGACCCCTCCGTCCGTGTCCCGATGCGGCCGACTCCGAGCACCTTGGGCCCACTGATGTTGGCGTCTCGCTTCTAGCTCCGCCTGCGGAGCCGCAGGGCCGCCTAAACAGTGTTTTTCGTTTTCGTTCTGGTTTCGTTTTCCCTCGCTTTTGTCTCGAATCCGCCTTTACCGCAAAACGAAGTCGAAACGAAAACGGCCCACGAAATCGCCAAAAACACCGTTTAGGTCCAGCCCAGCCGTCGCCGAAGTGACGTCCACCATCTCCCGCCGAGGGCGCGTTGCGCCGGGGGCCGGGGTCCTGCCTGGAGCGCGCCATGTGGTCACCCGAGTTTCTGTACGCGCGGATATAGGGTTCCCTGCCGCCTTTCTGCGTGTGGGGCAAATCTGTGAGGCCTAGCCTCAAAATACGTTTTGCACAGACTTGCCGTTTCCACTTCAGATCCAGTCGCCGGCCCTCTTCGGGTGATGAGGAGGTTGGGGCGGATGGGCGCACCTTGGGGTTTGCGACTGGAGCCAGGTTGGGTCAGCGATCCCTCTATGCAACGATGTCGGTGTCCATCTATCGATGCCCCTACCCATCGGTCTCGCTATCGATCCATCCGTCCTGCTAGCAACAATTCGACGGACATCTCCATCCGTCGATCTCACGATCGACCGATGCACCGGTCTCGCTATCGATCGAACGACCTCTCTTCCCGGTTCTCGATCCCACGATTGATAGACCGAGCGATCACATGGTCCGCCTATGGATCCCCCTGACGCCATCCCCCCACGGCGGGATCTGCGTTCCCCCCGTGCTCGGCGCCCGCGGCCGCCCGCCGGGCGACAACCCCCCACCCGACCCGCCCCCTGCGCACGGAGCGCCCCTCGGGGCGCCCACGCGACAACCAGCAGGCTGACGACCACGGAACCACCGCACAGCAGGCTGACGACCACAGAACCACCGCAGGACAGACGACCATCGGAACAACCATCAAGACAGCCATCGAGACGCCCGTCGGGACAAACGTGGGCACGACCAGCAGGAACAACCATCGGGGGCCTCGGCACAGCCATCGCGACAATCGTCGTCGGGGCAGCGACAGGGACAACCCTTGGTGACCATCGGAGCATCGGCACTACCATCGACCATCGGGACAACCACAACTTTATGGGAGCAACCGCGATAGAGCCGCGAGAACAAGAGACGTCAGAACAAGCAGCGGGACAACCAGGTGGCCACCACAAGACAGCAAGGGGACAACCACGCGGCAACGGCGGGACAATCGCGGAACACCCTGGGTAGAGGCTCACACTTCCTCGCGAACCAAAGGGTCACCTGCCACCGCGTCCCATGGCACGTTGAGGCGTTGTCGAATGCCGAGTCATGTCTGGTAGGTATTCTCTCAATGCCCCCGCCCCCTACTTCGTCACACCTAAGGCTGTCGACGGCCTACAAGACGGTCCAGGAAAGCCACCATGGCAACCCACATTGACATACATCGCCTTGAGAGGTACCCAGCAGCTCCCAAGAAGACCACATGAGGCGCACAGGAGGCCCCAAGAGGCCTCCAAGACATCAAAGCGCAGGCCAAGAAGCCCCCCAGGAAGCTTTCAAAGTCCAGCGGGAAAGCTGCAGTTCTTGTGCATAGTTCGCGTTTCCAGTACCTCTCGGCACCAGATGGTTCCAAGAGGGCCTCGGGGGGACTAGACCGAGGCCACCAAACCCCATGAGGGCCTCCAGAAAACCACCAGATGGCATAAGAGAACCCCAAGAGAACTGAAGAGCCCAGGACAGCCTAAGGCAGCCACAAGATATCCCAAGAGGACGTCCAGACAACTTCAGTAACTCCCCAGATGGTCGAGAGGGGCCCAAATAGCCCAAAACACCGTCAATACAGTCCAAGAGGGCCCAACGAGTTCCCCTATGAGGGTCCCACGTGGACCCCACAGGAACCAAAGACAGCCCCAACACGGGCCCAGAGAGCCCACCATGCGAACTCTTGACCTCCCCAGCCAGAGTTCTGCGCTGGCTGGGTGGCGGGACTTGCCGCAAGTTCCTGCGCAGTGACGTGCGAACGCCTGCCGTATCTCCCAAGTGAGTGCTGAAAGCTGGTATGGGAGATATGACAAAAATTAGGTTGAGGCGATTGTGTCTCATAGTTGAGCGAACAACGTCAATATTTACACCACTGCTGCCTGATACACCCGAGAGCACTAAATATTCCAACAACGCCATAACCATGTTCGGACGACAGGGTCGCTCCTGCAACCACTGCGCACGAAAAGCCACACGATTGTTGAACTGAACGAAGGGGGCCTCTCGTTACCACGTATCGATAACGAGCCTCGACCTTATCCCTACCCGTAAACTCGGCAAAACCAAGGCGATGACAGTCTTAGTAATGCGCCCTCAGGAACTGAAGGAGTCCTAAAAATCGGCACGAGGTCAGGTGATTCCAAACATAGGGATGGGGACATGCTTCAAGTGATTCCAAACATAGGGATGGGAATCTGCTTCATCAATCTGGTAAACCCAGGATCATGGGAGACGAAGGGCAATCGAGGCGGGGGCTGGGTGAAGACGAAGAAGGAACGAATGCATGACATGACTTTTCTGACGTGTCGAGGGGGGTTCCCGTTCATGAATCCATGCCGCAAGCAGGTCGGTGGTCAGGAGATGTTTGGATATCCTCTGCGCTGCTCCATCCCCATCAAACCGCTTGAGGTTATGGCCAGCCCAGCTCTTCAGCCCCACAGCTTCACCCAGTCGTCCGCGCGCAGCGTAAGCCATCACCATACATTCCAACCTGTTGTGGCGCACGCCGCCAAGACTACCAGCAGAGCTGGCGAGGAAGACGCGTTCCCGAATGCGAACCATACAACGCATAGCAAACCAATACTTGACACAATACGTGCCACCTCCGATGGGCGCGGACCCACGGCAGCGTCTACAGCCTCCGTGAACTCCTGGGGGAACTCGGCATAGAACTGCGGCTGTTGCTTGAAGAAATGGAGGAAAAACCCGAGAGCCTCCGTCATATTGGAACTCGACTGACGCAGTCTCCTGACTGACCTCTATCAGAGGGGAATCGGTTCCTGAGGGAAGCGAGTCCTGACCCCCCCCCCCCCGGGCCTTCCCCCAGGACGACATCTTCACATTGAGTCGTTTTCTGGCGAAACACCTCAGATGTCAGAGCCCGTTTCCCGCAAGACCGTTTCGGCCATGGCGAGACCTTCGCTCCGGCGACCACCTCGTAGGGCGGAGCCGGTTTCGGCACGCACGACTGGTCCGCCACCTGCCGCAAGTACGCCGATGGCTGGTGACCTCGGCCGGCCGAGAAACCGCGGGGCCAGCAGGCCAGGGAAGACAACGCCGTTCGAGCTGCGTGCGAATCACGGGCTGCCCGCTGCGGGTTGCCAGCGCAGAGTCGAGAGGTTCTGGGCAGGGTGAACCCCAAAGAGTGTTCCCGACGCCACCCCCTGGGCTGCTTTCTCGTCGCTGGTCGTCGAAGATGGGACCGAATGCCCCCCCAAAAACCACACACACACACACATCAAGGACAAGGTGGAAACCACACCCATCTTAGCGGCCCCAATGCGCAACGCCTAGCGTGTCGACCAGGAGCTCGACGCACATACTGAACGCGTAACTCTGGTGCGATACGCCCGCGAAATCGTGAACCGACGCGCGCCGAGCCAACGCGCAGCGCGTAAACACGGATGCCGTGAGCACGGCGCGTGGTCCGTTTCAACGCGGGCGTATCAGGGAGGCTGAGGCACCCGGTGTTTCGTGAGGTGCCGGGCCCCTCGCAACCAGGATGCGCCCAGAGTCTGCCCCAAATGCCCCCCGCGCGAGTCAGCCACTCGCACTGATGCAAGCCATGGGCGGTGGGGGAGCTCCGAGGGCAGCGATGACTGAGGGGGAGAGAGGGAGCGAGAGAGAGAGAGAGAGAGAGAGCTGCTCAGATATAATTACACACATACATACACAATGTACTGCAACATAAAGAAGGATCAGAGAGAGCAACAACATATAACAACGATAGCGAGAAAATGAGGGACTACAAGAGAGAGAGAGAGAGAGAGAACAAAAAAACAGAGGGAGAAAGAGAGAGAGAGAGAGCGACCGACATAAAGAACACAGTGAACGAGAGAGGAGAGAGGAGAGAGACAGGGAGAGAGAGAAAGAGAGAGAGAGAGAGAGAGAGAAAGAGAGAAAGAGAGAGAGAGAGAAATCGGACAAGCGAGCGGGAGTCCCGTCGACAGCCGGCTACTGCGGTAGCCTCGGCCGCCATCGCATTCTTGGCGGTGGTCGGCACCTTGGGGTACAGGGAATGTTGAAACAACTAACCCCTGGCGCAAAACGACCGAAGAAAAGGGACGGGGCGGAGAGCAGGCGATGCGCCACGTCTCTCTGCGCCCCGCATGGGACAAAAAAACACAGGTCGGCGAAACCCCCGTCGGCGGCCGGGGGACAAGGGCTCGACCGCTGAGCGGCATGCAGACGACGGGGCGTCCCCCGCCGCCGCAACTGGGCCCCGATGACGCATGGCCGCGCGGGCAATCGGGCTGGTGAGAAGAGGGCCTACGGCCGAATATGAAGCCCTATGACATGTGGGCATGCATGGCACTGAGAAGGTCATGCACAGATGGGACGGGTAACGCCCCGTCGGGCGGCGAAGGAGGGGGAGGTGAGGGCAATCTGAGTGCTGCGCAGGCGTTGCATCAGCTGGCTCTGCTGGGAGGGTAAGGCGAGTACCTGACTCGAAATCGCGTCGTACTGGCGGCAGAGGTAGTGGTAGGACGCCTCTAGCTCTGCGGCTCGGCCCTGGGCAGGACGCGGAGCACAAGGCGGGCGGGCGTCAGCGGCCCTACTGGCTAGGTGCGCGGCGAGGTCCGTGCGGCGGTCAGTGCCTCGCGGGAGCGCTGGTTCGGGTTTGGGAGCGACGGCGGGATACCGCTGGTCCCTGACAACCGGCCGAGGTATGTCTAGCCGAAGCGCAGCTGGGGCGGGCGGCAAAGGAGGGGGTCAGGCCACTGACCCTGGTGACCGCAATTTCAAGCACGGTGGATCCGGTCGGCTCGGCGTGACGCTCAAGCTTGGGCGTTGTGAGGTGGGCTCTCGGTCTCATCGGTGCGGCGCGGCGAGGGCCCGATCCATGCTTGGCTGGCGGCGTCGGCTCAACTCTGGTAGGTGCGTCGGGCTCGACAGCTGGAGCGTTGCTGGCCGCGGCTTGGGGCGACAAGGGGCTGATGTCCTCGTCTTTGCAGACGCCCGCGCGGCCGAGGTTGACGCCATCGGCGTCGGGGCCTGGGACATGGTGCCAAACGGCCGCGGGGATACCGCGGGACGGTGGCGGGGCACCTCCCCAATGGGCACGACTACGGTCAGAACCCCTGGGCCGTCGCCGTGACGAGGGGCAGCAACATGGGGCGCTATGCACACGGCACTGGTTACGCGGATGGTCGTGGGACGCCTGGCGCTCTACGGCTCGGCCCTGGGCAGGGCGCAGAGCGTGAGGCGGGAGGGCGTCAGCAGCCCTGCTGCCAAGACGCGCAGCGTGGTCCGCGCGGCGGTCTGTACTTCGCATGTCCGCTGGTTCGCGTGTAAGGTCGACGGCAGGCGTCACACCGGGTCGCTGCCAGCCGACAGGGGGATGCCTGTGCCTGGTCGAGGCGACACGGCTCGGTCGGGAGACGGAAGAGGGGGCCAGGCAAGTGGCGCTGGTGGCGGGAGCTTGACCGCGGTGGGCATGGTCGACTCTGCGTGGCGCTCACACTTGGGTGTAGTGAGATTTGCGCACACACGCCTCGGGGCGACGCAGCGGGAGCCCGATCCACAATACGCTGGCGGTGTCTGCTGTGCTCTGTCAGGCGCGTCAGGCTCAGCAGCCAGGGCGTTGTTAAGAGAGAGAGAGAGAGAGAGAGACATATAACGAGAGAGCAAGAGACACACGACCGAGAGAGAGAGAGAGAGAGACGCACGCACGCACGCAAAGGATCGCAGCGCGTGTCCGAATGCGACCGGCTGGGGGTGCCAGCGCCCCGCTCGGCTCCGCAGACTGCTCGGGTTGGGGAGCTGAACCATACAAGACGAGAGCCCGAGGCGCCCTTTGCGGGCGACCGACTGTGAGGAACGCACGAGGCATGAAAAGACAACGGCGAGCGGCCACAGAGCAACGCAACAGTGCTGCGAGCCACGGGCGGCGAGGAACCGACACCACCATACATGTGCCCTTGGCGGAAGCACGAGGTGCTGGCAGGGAACCCATCTCTTCTCAGGCAGGCCCCACCGAGAGCGAAGCGGCATCGCCGAAACGAGTTTGCAGGGCAAGGCGCGGGACTGCAGCAGCAACTTCGGGTGAACGGGCGGCCTTATGGCCGCGTCTGGTGATCGGTGCTGGCGGCGGCAGAAAACGGACGCCAGCAGCACGGTGGAGGAAAACGGACGCCAGCAGCACGGCGTCCCAGGCGGCCCGGAGTGGAGAAAGGCGGCACTGGGCGGAGGCCAGGCGATCGAGCGCCGCCTGGAGTTGGTGCTCGAGAGCGGCTAGCCGCGCTGGCGGCGGCGCACGGCCGTCGCGGCCGCGGCGGCGCCGAGGTGGGTGCTCAAGGCTGCCCGCCAATCGCTGCGGACCGCGGGGGCCCGCGGGACGGCGGGAGGGGAGACCGGGGAGAGCGGTCGCCGCTGAAAGGGGGCGGACTGGGCGCCCCCCGAGCGCGGCCGAGTCCAGCACCGGGGGCGCGCGCGGGAGGGCTTCGGCAAGGACGACGACGCCGGGCGGGCAGATGTGGCGACGCCACAGGCTGCCCGGCCGCTGAAACAGGAAGGTGCTCTCCCGCTCCTGCGGAGGCCGCGGTGGCCAGGTCAAGCGGGGCGGCCGGTGGGGGGGGGGCAGCCCCGGCGGTACATTGGGGAGTCGTCGTCACCCTCCATGTTGCCTCCCGGTCCGAGAGGGTCGTCCTCGACGGAGGGCGAGAGAGAGAGGGAGAGTGCAAGATAGAAAGAGACAACAAGAGAGGGAGAGAGAGAGAGAGAGGCAACCAGGCAGGCAGCCAGGCAGAGAAGGAGAGAGAGAGAGAGAGAAAAACAAATATCACAAAAGCGAATCCAGGGACGGAACCCGACATGCACGTGCATATATGAATCCCACCCTCAAACTTCCCTCCTCTTGCCTACACCCTTGGGGGCGGACCCGGGGAGGCCCTCTCCTGCCGATCCCCCTGGCCACCCCAAGCGTGGCACCCAACTAGGCGGCCGACCGTGGTGTACGGCGCAGGGAGGTGGTTGACTCCTAACGGGCGCGAAATGTGAGCGGCATTCTCCTCGCCCCCTCGCCACCCTCCAACTCCCTCGCCCTCCAAGGGAAATTGCGAAAATCGAATGAAGCGGGTCCTGAGGGAAACGGGTCGTGGACCACAGGGCCTTCCTCACAGGACCACCTCTTCATCCCGAATGCCGAGTGGTGTGCGACGGTCCATAGGCCAAGGAACGGCCCGGAACACCTTCCAAGACCTGTTTCGCTCAGGGCGGCTTTGCTGCGTGGCGATGGAAAGGGACGACTTCCTCGAGCAGACGTGTTGACCGCGTCCATTTTGTAGCGTTGCCAACTTGCGGCAATCACGCACCGGCGTTGGCGGGCATGTTGTGTGACCCCCCTCTCGGGAGCCCTCGATTCGGGCGTTGGCAGAACTGGGTTTAGTGGGACCTGGTTTAATGATGTGTGCTGAGGGGCGCCCCCGAGGCCCCGTTCCACTAACCCGAACTGCCGTCAGCCGAAAAACACCAGCTACGGCAGACCATGGTTTAGTGACTCTGGCCAATTTCGGGGCTCCGGGGCCCTGCTACTAACCCGGTCCCCTTACGGCAGGTTCGTGCCATGTCGACCTGGGCGTTGGTCCCTGACACCGCGCTGGATCGTTCAACCTTGAACGATCGGCCGTCTCCGCAACGTCCGATCGTTCAACATCGATCGATTCTGGGCCGCCGCCGGCGTTCAACCTTGAACGCCCGCGCTGGGGTCGCCGCCGGTCGACACGACGCAAACCTACCGTACCCTGGGGTCCTGGCTGTAAACCCGATCGATGGGAGCCCATCGGGAGCCCATCGCGCTGGGGTGGCCCCGCGTCGGCACCGTGGCCCGACGGGGCCACGTGACCCCGTCTTGGCCAGGACCGCCGCTCTCCGGTGCAGAAGCCTTGTGACGCAAGCTCCTCCTCCTCCTCCTCCTCCTCCTCCTTCTCCTGCTCCTCCTTCTCCTCCTCCTCCTCCTCCTCTTCCTCCTCCTCCTCCTCCTCCTCCTCCTCCTCCTCCCCTCCTCCTCCTCCTCCTCCTCCTCCTCCTTCTCCTCCTCTCTCCTTCCTCCTCCTCCTCCTCCTCCTCCTCCTCCTATTCCTCCTCCTCCTCCTCCTCCCTGCCCGAGCCGAGGTGCCCGTCCGAGGAGCCCGCCGCGCTGCGGCGCAGCGTGCGGGCCACGAGGGCCTCCAGGATGTGCGGGCCACACGCCTCGCCGTCGCTCGGACGTCCATTTCCCGTGCATTTTTCGGTTTCGTGCGTGTTTTTTTGGCTCGTTGGTCGAGGATGGTCCTCGATCCTCGATGGTTCTCGCCGAGAAAAAAATGCACACGTCCAAGCGATGCCAGGACGCAGGAGAGACCGAAGGCAAGGGTGACCTTGGGCGCCCGGCTCGTCGCACGTCGCGGGCGGCGCGGCAATGGCGGCCTGCGCGCTTGGGATCGGGCCCCCCGCGCAAGCCGTGCACCGAAAGTCTCGGGAAACCGGCCCCTCCCCCCAAAAACGATGCCACTATACTTCCCGGACCTCGCCCGAGGCCCGTTCTGACCCCGATCTCGATGCGGAGCCAACGGTAACGAAGGCCCCCCACGAGGCCCTAAAAAGGGGCATCGAGGCACCGGCAGTGGCATCGGTGCCTCTCCTTCCTCTGAACGCTACTCCGCCGAGGGGCCACTCTTGCGCGTGGCCGCATGTGGGCGTCCGTCGGCAGGTGGGACCCCCGGCGCCAAGTCCGCCTGCATCGACGCGCTGATGCCCCAACGGTCCCACTCGCGCAGGCGCTCGAGCACGTACGGCCTATGGGCCGCCGCGTCGAAGCTGGGGTGCCGGAGGTGGGCCTCCAGTTCCTGCGCGAGGCTGGCCTCTGGACCCGCTGACCTCAGCCCCTCCCCCGCCGTCGGCCCGAGGCTACACGCTGCCTTCCCAACTGCGCTTTCCGCCTCGCCATCCTCGACACTCCCCAAGCTGTCGGCATTTGTCCGCCCTTCGCGGCCCTCGGATCCCTCGGAGGCCTCCCGGGTGGGCGCTGAGGGGCTGAGGGGTTAGGTGCGAGGAGTGGTGGGTGGAGTGAGGGGGCGAAGAGTGGGGGCAACGGTGGAGGCAAATGTGGTGGAGGACGAGGTGTAACACACTCCGGCAAACCCCGGCAACAACGCTGCAACAACTGCCATGGCTGCACCAGCCAACTGGCAACCACCGCACCAACTGCAGCCCAAGCATGCATGCTACAACAGAAATCGTTTCGATACCCCCGTCGTCCGCCTCGGAGGAGCAGATGGAAAGAGTAGGAGAAGGGGGCGGAGGAGGAGGAAGAGGAGGAGGAGGAGGAGGAGGAGGAGGAGGAGAAGGAAGATGAACAATTATAGGGGCAAGGCCGCCTGGAGGTGGGACCAACTGGAGGTGGTGGGAGGGGGGGCGGAGGCGCGATCAGGAGGAGGAGGAGAAAAGGAGGAGGAGGAGGAGGAGGAGGAGGAGGGGGGGAGGAGGAGGACCAGTATAACCCCAAGAGCCAGCAACGATGTTGGAATAAATCTTTCCTCCAAGCTCTCTCTTGTCCCCTACAACGGCTTATTTCCACAAAAGGAGCTGTCTCGTTGGAAGGCAACCGTTTGAAGACCCTGAAGCATGCCAAAACATTGTTCTCGGGATTCCACTGCCACGAATCAACTTGACTGTTGCGTGTTGATGATCCTGAATCGTGCCAGAACGCCGTCCTGGGACTTCAACACCGCGAACAAATACAACTGTTGCAACCTCAAAATCCGGAATCCCCCCAGAACACCATGTCTGGAATGCTGAACATGAGAACCCGTGAAACTAACTCTTGCTAACTTTTTAAACGTATGCGCGCGGCGCTAAGGCGATAACCTCATTTTGACAAGGAGCCGCCCTCGACCCGTGAAATTATTGCCAAATCTCTAAAACGAATGTACGCGGCGCGAACACCGAGAGCCACATGTTGAGAACCATTCGCCATCAACAAATTAAACTTCTATATGTTTTAAATGAACGTGCGCGGCGCTAAGGCGAGAGCCACGTTTTGAAAAAGACCCGCCCGCCATCTCTGAAACTGTTACCAATATTTGAAGCTTTAGAGTGATTCGTGGTGAGGAAGTCTCAGGCGAACCGCCTGGTCTGCCCCAGAAACTGGCCTCGGGGTGCGGCAGGGAAAATCATTTATAAGGAAAAGAAATGGAGGAGGGGGAAGAGGAGAAAGAAGGAACATCGAGAGGACGAGAAGGATGAGACCGAGGAGACCGGAGTATGGAAAAAGGAAAAGCAGGATGGGGAGGAGGGGGATGAGGGTGAGTCCCACCCCTCTTCCATTCTTCCTCCACCTGTCCCCCCCGCCTCGTATCCCACGAGCTCGGTCGCGAGGTGGATGCGAGCATGCGAGCAGAGCGGGGTATGCTCTCGCCCCCCCCCGCGGGTGCGGGAGGGGGTCGGAGGGGGCGACCCATGAAGGCATACCCCAACCACTTCGGAACATTCACGAACTAATTGAGGCCGAGTACAGCCACTAGAAACGGACTGATCTCAACCTTGAGGACTCCTATACTCAATCCACATGGCAATTCTCTGAAAGCCTCTGAGGAGAAGCTTCTGGGAAGATCTGGAAAGCCTGTGAGAAGCCTCTGGGGCGCACCGCAGAAGCCGCTGAGAAGCTTGCTGGAAGCTTCGTAGAAGCCTTTTCGCCTCTGGGACGCTCGTAGCAGCCTCTGGGGAAGCCTCTGCGGAGCCTCCGAGAAGTCACTTGGAAGACTCGAAGCGGGCTCTGAGAAACCTCTGAGAAACCTCTGAGCATCCTCGCTGAAACCTCTGAGAAGCCTGGGTTTGTGTGTTTGCACGCTTCGTCATCATCCGCTCATGGTCATCCTGCTCTTCGTCCTCGTCCGCTACCTCTCTTCCCGTTGCCATTGTGGCTCGTTTTTATGTCTTTCACTCGAGTGAGCCAGATGCCACGCATTACAATGAAGAGCTGATGAAGAGACCCCGTCTGGAACCTCAAGGGACTAGAGGAATTCATTTAAAACCTGAAGAAACCTGGAGGATCATGAGCAATCATAAGGAGTCCGTAAACTTTGGAATGTTGAAATACGTTGCGATGTGGCACACGTGATTTGCAAAAATCCTGGCCGGGGCGGCGAACTGTTTCTGATCGCCCCGATCGCAACTGCTTTCTCGAAAGTCCGCACGAAGACTTACGGGAACCCACTGCGTCCAGAAGCGCTCTTGAGATCATTGTCAAAATGAGAGCAATCCTAAAACGCCCCCAGAGCAGTGCAACCACTTCGGCCAGATCGTGACCTGTTGTGCTCCGCCCCAAATGGTCGACGAGCAGTGCGAAGTGGTTGCGATTGGGCCCGCTTGCAGGGGACCCCCTCGTCCTTCCCCATCCTCCTCGTCCCTCCTCCATCTCCTCCCTCCCACCCTCCCGTTCTCCCCCCTCCGCCTTCCCCCCTCGTCCCTCCGCAGTCCTGCTACCCCCACTTCTCCTCCGTCCTCCCTGCACCTCCTGAGTCACGGGTCCAGAAGGGGAGGCGATGTGGGGGAGGACGCAGAGTAGGGGTGGCAGAGGAAAGGGCGGGATTGGAGGCGGGAAGGAGGGGGGGGGGCTGGAAGGAGGGAGGACGCCTACCACGGCACCAGGTCCGAACCTGGGCCCAGGATTGGCCTGGCCAGGGTCTGTGCAGGTGTGTTCGAGTGTAGTTGGCGCACCTAGAGCATGAAGGGGAACTGGGACACACAAATAAATACACACAACTAAAAAGATTCCCCCATATTTTCCTATACTTTCTGGGTGTTTGTCTTCCCCCCCCACTTTCCATATTTTCCCATATTTTCTGGGAAATCGAGGATTAATTGTGTCTGTGTTTTTTCCCCTCCTGAGAGCAGGAGGGGCGCTAGAAGTGGAGGGAAGGGCGAGGGGAAGCCATGTACAATGTACAGTCGGACCTAGGACAGAAGAACCTCCTCCAGGAACATGAGACACTCCGCTGGCCAAACCATGCAGAACATCCAAGGGTGCCCTCCCCAGGATGCACAAGAGCATCCAACAAACACGAAGAGCATAAGGGTACCCTCCCCGAAACGACATCGACCTTATGCTTCGGTCTGGCCGTACGGGCGCGGGGAGGGAGGGCGGGAATGAAGGAAAGGACGGCGGGACGGGAGGACGGACGGAAAGGGAAAGGAGGGGTGGTGAACTCCATCAGCCCTCTGGCAGTGGGCGGTTGAACGGGGCAACTCATCCAAACCAATTATTCCCCCTCGCGGGGGGGTACCCTTCCCTATCCGAAGGTGGCTTCCCTACCCGAAGGTGGTCTGCAGTTGAACCAGCATCGCGTTCAACATACCTTCAAGATGCAATGATATGTCTGCCAGACAGCTCCAAGGGCATTTCGAGCATCCCAAGGATGCACATCAGAGGGAAGCACCTGTCCAAAGCAGAAGGTATTTCTATATGTCAAAGACTCTTGCCTCTCGCATTTTCGCTTCCGATGGGCTCCGAAGGCCTTAGGATGGCTCCAACAACGCCCAAGAGAGCCTCAAGAAGGGCTCAGACTGGCCCCCATACGCTCTCCAAAGCCCCCAAGAACAAGCGGAGGGTGCCCCAAGAAGGCCCCGCGAGACTGCGTTTCTGTATTCGACGGGGGAGACTTTCAGTCACCAACGCCGGTGTGTGATCCATTGTCTCCCGCATCGGCCCTGGAGTGCCCCGACTTCCCCAAAGGGGCGCCAAGAGAACTCCAAAAGCGCCCCACAAGCCTCCTCGAGGCGATGTTGTGTCAGGGAATCGGCGACGGCGTGGGGGGGGCAAATCAAACAATTCGACGCGTCAAATTGGTTCGGATGAAACCGTGCGTGAAATCTGGCCGCATCAGCACGGCATCCAAATCGGATGGCACAAAATGCGACGAGTTGCGCATCTGCGCGGTGCAGAACATCGCTGCGTACAGGGCCGTCATGGTATCGAAATCGAATTGGGCCGAAGCGGGCGACATCGAAGTCGAACCAGACGGACGGAGTTGGAACAGACCCTGGGGTGTGAAAGTGAGCCCGTCGATAGGGGGGTCGAAGGGAGCCCGCCGATTTCTCATCGAACGGCGGCGCAGCAGATTCATGGAAGATCGCAGGGCAGAACCCACGCAGAGGACGAAGCCGCACCGCACGTCGAGGACAGGCGCAAAGAGGCCCGGCTGCCCGCGGAAGCGAGACGCCAGGCAAAGGCAGGGATGCCAACTGGAAAAAACACATCTCTGTCGAATGGCTGGGCCTGTGGGGACTGATAGTGCGCGGAGAGACTCTTACAGTCTTTTCCGAGCGTCAGATGTCGCGATGCAGGAAAGCATGAAGACAATCGGGAGGAATGGGGCATGGGGAAACCAAAAGGGTACCGATACCGCCACTCCCCAGACCGCTCCTGCGGTGTGTTCTGACCAGAATTTCGAGGCGAATCCAGCGGTGGTGACGAGGGCTTCCCAGGATGCCGAAAAAGGGGAAAACGGGGGTGAGTATCAGCATCGCTACCTTTACTTCTCTGAAGGTAGGGACAGTGAGGGAATGAAGATCGAGGAAGCAGCACGCCACGAATGATGCCCTGCACCAAAGGTCCCTCGCAGGCAAAAGGTGCGACGTGAGCGAATGAAAAGAGCAAACAAGTTGTTATGAATCTATGTCATGTTCGATAGCCCTGGACTCTGGCTTTACGGCCCGCTGTCCACGCGAGACCTCCGCGTCAGATGAGCCACATCTGCCGGCGAGACGCGTACCATCTCAGCCGGTTGGGCTCCTGGTGCGTGAAGGCCTCGGCGCATGCGCGCAGGCCGGCTCGACCGCACCGCGGCGTGACGCTGGCGGCGTACACAGGGGGAGCGTGGAGAGGAGAAAGAGCAAATAACTGAGAAAGTTGGATACAGTGCGGGCGCGGCCGCAAGAAACCCTCGCAAGAAACCCAACCCTGAACACCCGCGCGCGAGGTGCAACTGAGGGGAAGCCCGGAGCACCGCGAACGCAACAGCTCCTTCAACGGCCGCGGGAAGTCACTGCGCATCGCGCGGAGCGAAGAAAGCCAGGGTACCTTGATGAAAAATAGATGGTTTCTTGATGCGCGCCCACACTGTTGGAGAGAGACGATGAAGGCAGCAGAGAAAAACCGAAGATTGGAAAGCAAGCGGAGGAGTAATGACAGAGTAGGCGACAGAAGAGAGGCAAAAGGAGAGGATGCATGAGAGAGGAAAGAACATGATGGAGAAAACAGAAACCGCCCTAAGGAACTTGGCCAACGGCTCAGCCGTTGAGAGTGAGCTAGACCATCCCCACAAACTTGCCGAACCCTATCCGAATGACGCAGGACTCTCGACATTCAAGGTCCGGCCAAAATGATGATCGCGAGCCAAACCCCGCTCTGAGAAAGCAGCCACGCCGCGCGCCAGAGGGGCCCGCCTCTTCGAAGCTCACGGGAAGGACGAGGATCGGAGGAGGAGGAGGAGGAGGAGGAGGAGGAGGAGGAGGAGGAAGAGTTATGTCGGGCGTGTCCCCAGGGGGTTCTCGACGAACAATAAAAAATACCCCAAAATTACCCTCAAAAGGTCCAAACATACTCAACAAGTAGTCCCTGGACTATGTTTGGACATGTGTTTTGTTATTTTTGAGGCCTGTTATATTTCTCGTCGAAAATCCCCCCCTGCAGGGGGACAGCAACCACGCCGCGCGCCAGAGGGGCCTGTCTCTTCGAAGCTCACGGGAAGGACGAGGATCGGAGGAGTAGGAGGAGGAGGAGGGGGAGGAGGAGGAGGAGGAGGAGGAGGAGGAGGAGGAGGAGGAGGAGGAGGAGCAGGAGGAGGAGGAGGAGCAGGAGGAGGAGCAGGAGGAGGAGGAGGAGGAGCAGGAGGAGGAGCAGGAGGAGGAGGAGGAGCAGGAGGAGGAGCAGGAGGAGGAGGAGGAGGAGGAGTCGAGGCGGCTGTCAGCGGCAGCTCTGGCCGCAGCTCTTGGCAGGGGAGAGACAACCGAGAGGGGGCCCAAGGCCCCAGGCGGCGCGAAGCAGGGCCTTGGCAGCGCTGGCGGCTGCCAAAAAAACACTCGAACGAGTTGGCTCCTCGAAGTCCGTCGTGTGCACGGCGAGACGCGTACAGTCTCATCCAAGCGGTAGGTCGGGCCTGTCCCCCTACAGGGGGATTTTCTACGAAAAATGAAAACTTAAAAAACTCAAACATAATCAAATAATGATCCAAAAATAGGCTGGGGGCTATTTTTTGAATATGTTGTGACCTTTTTGGTATATTTTTGGGGTATTTATATTTGTTCGTCGAAAATCCCCCTGTAGGGGGACACGCCCGACATAATCCAAGCGTCAGAAGTAGCGGCTCATGTATTACGATGCGGGATGGACGGAGGGATGGAGGGTGGATGCGCGAGCAGTGGGGAGGTGGAGGGCACGTGAGATGCGGAGAGCCAGGAGGAAGCGCGCCAAGAATGACGCCCTGCACCCGTGACCTCAAGAAGGTGAATTCTGCATGGTGTAGCGTTGAGCTACACTCAGGGTGAGATGTGAGCCCATAACATTCTGTCGGGCGTGTCCCCCTACAGGGGGATTTCGACGAAAAACACAAAATACTCAAAACATACGTCAAAAGCATCAAAACATACTCCAAAAATAGTCCCCAGACTATTGTCGAACCATTTTTGATCATTTTTGAATATGTTTTATTTTTTGTCGAAAATCCCCCTGTAGGGGGACAGGCCCGACTGAACCATAAAAAGAACAAGCGAGTTGCAGCAGTTGCGCCACGACACCACCAGCGAGACGTGTACAGTCTCGACTGGCGCGCATGGGCTCGTGGCGCGGCAGGGCCTCGGCGCATCCGGGCGCAGTGCGGCTGCGGCTCGGCAACGCCACGGCGACGTCGAGGAGAGTGGTGAGAGGGGCCAGGGAGGTAAGGAAGAGAGCCGGGTACAGATAAGGAGAGAGAGAGAGAGAGAGAGAGGGTGAGGCAGAGAGAGAAGAGAGACAGAAACGGAGAGGGAGAGAGAGAGATGAAAAGAGAGAGAGAGAGAGAAGCGCAGTCGAACAACAACATAAACATGGGGAGGAAGGGAGGGAGAAAGAAGGGAGGCAAGCGAGAAAAGGCGGCAAATACGGAGAGATGATAAGTATTGCATGTCAGACCGGGGAGCTGAACGATGAGGCCGGAGATATCGCATGACATGTCAATGTATCTGGAGCGAGAGGAGAAGGAAAGAGTGCAACGACGGGAATGAAACTGAGACGCACACGGTGTATATAGCATGTACACAAATACACAGATAGATGTAAACATGAATACCTGTAGGCATGGATATCTAGATACGTGCTTACACATACAATGTCCGTACATGCAGGGCGAGGGAAAAATGGAGAGAGAGAGAGAGGGACAGACGCCAGAGGGGGAGAGCGAGAGACAGAGAGAGAGAGAGAGAAAACAAAAAAGAATAAGGAAAAACAGAAAAAGAGGCAACCGAGAGGATCGAGCATCTCAAGGCGCTCTTCGGCCGGCCGGCCGTGGAAGAGGAGCAGTGCGCCTGCCTACGACGACCCCGAGCGGCCATCAGTGCGGCCACTGGTGCGGGAGGGGAGACGGAGCTCCCCGCTCCATCGGGCGCCCCTGAAGCTGCACAAGCATGAACTCTCAGAGGCCCGCGCAGGCCTCGTGTCCTGGACGCAGGTAGGTTCTCCATCGCCCTGGTAGCACTTGGGCCTGCCTCACTAACGAGCCTGACGAACCTGTATTGCATGCCATCCACCCTGAAGTTGTTCCTCCATACGTGGTCGGCGCTGGACCCCCTTCCTGGCGCGAGGGGCGCGCCGCAAGGGGGGGCCCAGCGCCGATGCAGGCAATCAGCGCGGACCCTCGAGAGTGCATGCGCACTTGCAGCTCCGAGGGAAAGGAGGGCTCGAGCTAAACAGTGTTTTTCGCTCTCGCCTTGTTGTCGGTGTTCATCGTTCTGTCTTCGTTTCGCCTTGGCTGCAACACGAACTCAAGACAAAAGCGGTCCGCGGAATCGCCCAAACACCGTTTTGCTCGAGCCCTGAGGGAAAGGGTGCGGGGCGGGGACTTGTCCATGGCCGCAGCCTGGAGAGGGTCGAGATTCGGGGACGCCGGCAAGCGGTGGACGTGGATATTTGACGCCCCCCTCCCCCCCTGGGGCCCGAATTTCTGAGTCTCCCCCGCCTGCCGAGGGGTCCCCGAGGATGTCCCCGGGGCGGCGGCTATGGGTGCGTCCCCGCCTCGGAAAGGAGGGCATCTTCGGAGGGAGCTCCTGGGAGGTCTTCGTCAGCGACAGCTCGGGCGATTGGCATGCATCTAACATGCGCTGGGCCAGATTAGGCCGGATTCGGCTCGGGATTCCAAGGGCTCCCAACCTAGCGCTTCGCGCAGCGCGAATAACTTCGCGCCGCTCTCGCGCCGCCCCCCAAATGGGAGAAAAGGAGGACGAGGAGGGGGGGGGGAGAAGGAGCGAGGACCGCGAAGTGCGAATAATTTCGCGCCCTCGTGGGAGCCCTTGGATTCAGCCGCATTAGGCGGCATCGAGCCAGACTCGTTTGGATTCAGCGGGACTTGGCCAGATCAGGCCAGCCCTTGACCAGGGATATGTATACCTGCGCTGATTTCGAAGTCAACATTTAAGTCGGGCCTGTCCTCTTACAGGGGGATCTTCGAGGAAGAATAAAACATACCCCATACATATTCAAACAAAGGTCGAAACATACCCAAACAAATCCCCAAACTATTTTTGGATTATTTTTCTACTATTTTGGGTGTATTCGATATTTGTCGTCGAAAATCCCCCTGTAGGGGGACAGGCCCGACTTCAGTCAACATCCCAGGAGCTGCATCCTTGGGGAAGCTGCCCGCTCCTCGAGGGCGCCCCCCCTCCCGCGCCTGCCAGGGTGCCAACCCTCAGGCGCTCACCAGCACGCACTGGCCCACCTTCACGCGCGGGGCGTCCGCGGGCCCGCGCTGGTGCGACATGGTGGACCACCACGGGGACGCCTCCCCCGGGATCTGGGCGACGACCCGGCGCGTCGACTTGCAGCTGGGCCTGAGGGGCGGAGGGACAGGTACGCAGCACCCAGCATGTGCGGGTAGGACTGAGGGGTCGTGCGTGGGGGTGGTCGCGGGTGGGTCGCAAGATGGGTCGCGGGACAGGTCGCGGGGTGGGTCGCGGGGTGGGTTGCGGGGGGGTCGCGGGCGAGGACGACGACATCAAACACCAACAGCAATCAAACAAAAACAACAAACAAGCATTATCCAGACCACCAAATCCCACTTCACCCACGCACCCTGGGATGGTGTATATGATCCTGGGTCGAGGGTTCAAAGCCCCCCAGATGAGATGGGCCCCAGTGTTCCACAGGCCCCCCCGCAGATGGGATGGGGGGGGGCGACGACGCCGACGCCGACGCCGACGCCGACAATGCCGACGACGCCGACGACGACGACGACGCCGCCGCCGCCAACGCCGCGGACGCCGCGGACGACGACGACGACGACGACGACGACGACGACGACGACGACGACGACGACGACGGACTACGGACGACGACGACGGCAACGAACAAAAACGACGACGAACCACCCCACCACCACAGGGGGAGGGCGGGCGGGGGGTGCACCGGCACCACCCTCCACCACGCCACGCCCACAGTGCCACGACCACAGGTAGGGGGGGGTGGGACGATCCCATTCGCGAGGCATTCGCGGGGCTCAGGGTCGCGGGCGTACCCATACAGCGCGGGGGGGGGGGCTCGCTCCCAAATGCATTGGGGGTGGGGGGGAGGGGGGGGCAACCCTGAACCGTGAAAGCCGATGCTCCGCAGACATCTCCCGAGGTGCGTTCTGACCAGCAGAAGCTTGAGTAGACTCCAATCGTGGCGACGAGGGCTCTCCAGGACGAGCAGCAGCGGTATCGGTATGTGCCCATCCTCTGGGGGCCTGCTCTTGACGCTCTTGGCGGACATGCGCCCCTGCTGCGGCGGCGCCGCGGGCGCCATGAACGACGACGGCATGAAGGCCGGCGCGGTACGGAGCGGCGTTCGCCTGGGCAGCTCGTGGAAGTCTGCCAGCGCCACGGGCCCCATGGGCACCATGTAGCTGCACACGTCTCCGAACATGCTGACGTTCATGGGCTCCTCGGAGGCGCACTGCACGTAGCCGAGCTCCGCGTACGGACTGGACGCGAAGAAGCCGAGGCCCTGGCTGCTGGACTCCTGCTGGAAGTCCTGGAAGCACTGCGGCTCGAGCTGCGTCAGCGGAAGGCCCGTCGGCACCTCCACTCCTTGGCGGCGCGCGGGAGCGGGCCCAGGGCGAGAGTGGAGGGGGGCGTGCACATTTCGTGCCCCTTTGGGGCACCAGGGGGCCTTCTTATGGCCCACTCAAGGCACAAAACGTGCACCTTCCCCACTCAAAATCGATCCCCATGCAGACCCCTCCCGGGACCCGTCTGGTGCAGTTTTCAGCCCCGGACCAATGTCTGTTCACCGTCCCTGGGCCCGAAAACGGCCCCCGGAGGCCGAGACACTCACAATCACTGGACAGCTCGCCCCTTGGCCCCCCGCCAGCCCCACGCCAAGGGGCGACCATATATACGGGCGCAGCACCGCGCTGGATGCGTAGCCGTCGGCTGAGCCACCCAAGCGAATGACGCATCACGTGGCGGCTGGATGCCCGCGCCGAGCACAGCTCCTCTCGGTTCCTCCCTCCTCCTCCTCCTCTTCCTCCTCCTCCTCCCCCGCTAGCTTAAAACTGCCACTGACATATCCTCACCCGCGGAAATAAAACTGCCACCGAAATATCCTCACCCGCTGGCTTAGATCTGCCAGGGAAATATCTCACCCGCAGGCTTAAAACTGCCACCGACATATCCTCACCCGCTGGCTGAAAACTGCCACCGAAATATCCCCACCCGCGAACTTAAAACTGCCACGCGGAAAATAAAAACTGCCACCGAAATATCCTTACCCGCTGGCTTTAAACTGCTACCGAATTATCCTCACCCACAGGCTTAAAACTGCCACCGACACATCCTCACCCGCAGGCTGAGCACTGCCACCGAAATATCCTCACCCGCAGGCTTAAAACTGCCACCGAAATATCCCCACCCGCAGGCTTAGCACTGCCGTCGAGATAACCTCACCCGTTGGCTGAACACTCCCACCGAAATATCCTCAACCGCAAGCTAAAAACTGCCACTGCCACTGAAATATCCTCACCCGCGGGCTGAAAACTGACACCGACATATCCTCACCCGCGAAAAAACATGCCACCGAAATATCTTCACCCGCTGGCTTAAAACTGCCACTGGCACATCCTCACCCGCAGGCTTAAAACTGCCACCGAAGTATCCTCACCCGCAGGCTCAAAACTGCCACCGAAATATCCTCACCCGCTGGCTTCAAACTGCCACCGGAATACCCGCTGGCTGAAAACTGCCACCGAAATATCCTCACCCGCGGAAATATAACTGCCACCGAAGCAGCCTCACGCACTGGCTTAAAACTGCCACCGAAAGATGCTCACCCGCAGGCTTAAATTTGCCACCGAAAGATCCTCACCCGCTGGCTTAAAACTGCCACCGAAATATCCTCACCCGCAGGCGTAAAACTGCCACCGAAATATCCTCACCCGCTGGCTGAAAACTGCAACCGAATATCCTGACCCGCTGGCTAAAAACTGCCACCGAAATATCTTCACCCGCGGAACAAAAAAACTGCCACCGAAATATCCTCACCAGCGGAAATAAAACTGCCACCGACATGACCTCACCCGCGGAAATAAAACTGCAATCCAACGGCCTGGTGGTTCAATTCAGTACGTCTGTCTACCTCGCGAGGATCAAATTACGGGCTGCGCCCGTAGAAAATTACTCCAACGGATGGACCCCACATGGAAACCTGATTTTGTATGGAATATGTACACTATCAGAATGATGCTGCTCCTGCTGACGCTGCTGCTGCTTTTCCTCCACCTCCTCCTTCTCCGCCTTGAGCAGCGTCCATTTCAAACGCGTCCTCCTGACGGTACCGTGGTTGAAATCCCCGCCTCCTCATCCTCTTTCTCCTCCTCCTCCTCCTCCTCCTCCTCCTCCTCCTCCTCATTATCCTAAACCTCCTCCTCTCCCCCCTGCTACCCCCATGAGGACCATTCGGCGCGCGCGGGTTCGTACGGAAGACCCCTCAAGGGCACTATCCTCGTCATCCTCCTGCTGCTCCTCATTCTCCTCATCACCCTCACGTCTCCTCCTCCTCCTCCTCCTCCTCCTCCGCCTACTCCTCCTCATCCTCCTCCTCCTCCTCCTCTTCCTCCTCCTCCTTGAGCAGCGTCCATTTCAATCGCGTCCTCCTGACGGCACCGTGGTTGAAATCCCCGCGTCCTCCCCCTCTTTCTCCCCCTCCTCCTTCTCCTCATCCTCCTCCGCCTTCTCCTCCTCCACCGGCTTTCATTTCAACCACCTCCTCCCGACGCCACCGTGGTTGAAACCTTCCTCTCCGCTCGCTCCTCTTCCCCCTCCTCCTCCTCCTCCTCCTCCTTTTTCTTCTTCCGACGCCGATGGGAGCATGAACTGCTGCACTGACGAATGACATGCAAAACGAAGCGGCAGCGGCATCGGCGTCATCCAGCACGGTGCCTGTCCGCCGCGTAGCGGCCCCACCCGTGACCCTCGAAATAAGGGTCGTAGGGCACATAGAAATCCTGCACCTGTGGCGGGACCTCGGGGACCTGACCGACTTCCAGCAATTCACAATTTCGTACAGTATGAAGGAGTGCCTGGGCAATACTCTTACACAACTGCGATGGATATTGCTTCGCTGCTGCAGTTCGGAAATCGCCGTTCCCTCGGACCCCGACGAGCTCTTCGGGATGAGAGGTGTGGGGGCATTTGCCCCCGCCTGGCAACTGAGCAACTAAATCACGAAACGTCGGCACACTAACGCACAACATGGTAGTGGGTTTCTTAGACCGAGCACCACACGTACATTGATCTAAATTCAGAAACCTGATGTCAGCACGAGCTCTAAAACCAAACACTGCAACCATCTCAGGGAGGCGCCAGATCGAGGGGAGGTGAGGGGCCTCCGGCACGAGAGGATGTTCTAAAATACAGGCAGCTCCTACGGCCGCACAAACATACACGACCTGAAGCATAGTCTGCAACAAACGATTGCCGAGCATAACCTGTTTCCATTCAGAAGGCGAGCGGGCCGCCAGGCCCCATAAAAATTCCCTGGGCCGCAGGAAACGAGGCTTCATACCCCCATTAGGCGGTGGATTCGCACGGCCCTTGGACCAGGTCTCGCATGGGGGCCCTCCAACAGCTCCGAGGGCCTGCCCTGTCCACAACATTTCTAATATTTTATCGACCGAGGCTTCTACTGTAAGGTCACCTCGGTCTGGACTATTGGCAACGTCGATAGATAACATTACCACAGGTACTCTAGCGGCCATCTGAAGCTTTTCGAAGTGAGCTTGCACGTCGCCTGCCCGACGTTGGCAGCTGAAAAGATGCAAGAAAAAACGCACTTCTGACGGCGAAATACTGATCACAGCGGGGGCATCATCGTTCTGATCCCGTCCGCGCTCGACGCCGTCAGTCGTGGCTCTGGCAATGTTGGCCTCAACTGGGCCTCCCAGCACAGGTCCAATAAAGGCAACTGGCGGTGCGGTAGCTGCATTCCGACATTCCCCCCGCCCCCGACAAGTCCTCGCCGCCCGAGCATCTTCCTTCCGCAGCTCCAGCACTCGCTCAACTGGCATGGGCTTCCTCCTCCTCCTCCTCCTGCTCCTCCTCCTCCTCCTCCTCCTCCTCCTCCTCGTCCTCGTCCTCGTCCTCCTCATCCACCTCCTCCTGGTCCCCCCCGCCTCCTCCTCCTCCTCCTCCTCCTCCTCCTCCTCCTCCTCCTCGTCCTCCTCCTCGTCCTCCTCCTCGTCCTCCTCCTCGTCCTCCTCCTCCTCATCCTCACGTCTCCTCATCCTCCTCCACCTCCTCCTCCTCCGCCTTGAGCAGCGTCCATTTCAACCGCGTCGTCCTGACGGCACCGTGGTTGAAATCCCCGCCTCCTCCTCCTCTTTCTCTTTCTCTTTCTCTTTCTCTTTCTCCTCCTCCTCCTCCTCCTCCTCCTCCTCCTCGTCCTTCTCCTAAACCTCCTCCTCATCCTCCTCCTCCTCGGCACGAGATGGCTCGCATGGAGAGGACCTGAGGGTCATTCCGTGCGAGCGGGCTCAATATTGCCGATAGCCGTTGGAATTCCAACTCTTAGGTGGGACCCCCTAGGGGCCACAAGGGAGGTCCCTTCCGCGCGAGCGGGCTCGCATGGAATGCACCTCAGGGTCATTCCGTGCGATCGGGCTCGCTGATGCCGATAGCCGTTGGAATTCCAACTTTTAGGTGGGATCCCCTAGGGGCCACAGGGGAAGTCCCTTCCGCGCGAGCGGGCTCGCATGGAATGCCCCTGAGGGTCATTCCGTGCGAGCGGGCTCGCTGCTGCCGATAGCCGTTGGAATTCCAACTTTTAGGTGGGACCCCCTAGGGGCCACAGGGGAGGTCCCTTCCGCGCGAGCGGGCTCGCATGGAATGCCCCTGAGGGTCATTCTGTGCGAGCGGGCTCGCTGATCCCGATAGCCGTTGGAATTCCAACTTTTAGGTGGGACCCCCGAGGGGCCACAGGGGAAGTCCCTTCCGCGCGAGCGGGCTCGCATGGAATGCCCCTGAGGGTCATTCCGTGCGAGCGGGCTCGCTGCTGCCGATAGCCGTTGGAATCCCCTTCCGCGCGAGCGGGCTCGCATGGTGGTTGCCCGAGGATGATGATCATGATGTGTGTGTGTGTGTGTTTGTGTGTGACTGGGTGTGGGTGGGTGTGTCCCGCGGCCGTCCAGAGAAAACAAGAACCCCACTTAGGATGTGGGGAAAAAACTCACCGAACCCCGCGCCTCGAACCTGCCCGGCCTCCCTGCGTGCCGGAACCAGTGATGGGCCACCTCTGGGGGAGAGAACAATGACAGGCCCGTTTCGCGCGCCAGGGAGGGGGGTCCAGCGCCGATCCGAGAAATCCGCGAGGACCTCCGAGTTGTTATGTTTACGTCATGGCTCGTTCCCTTAACCTCAGACCCCCAGCCAGCTCCATCCACC